GGGGGGGGGGGGGGAAAGAGGTGTTCCTTGAAATTTTTCTGAGTTTGAAAGGGTTCTGTGGTCAAAAAAAATTGGGAAACACTGGGTTAGTCTATAAGGTGCCACGGGACCCCTTGCCGCTTTTGCAGATTCAGACTAACCCAGCTACCCCTCTGATACTTTAGAAGACTTTTGCTATCTTCCTAACTAATTACAAAGTCATACAGGATGTGGTTGTCATTAGGGTCGTGGACTACCCAATAAGCTTAAGCTTACTGAGTTAGTTGAGTCACTACTCAACTACTCGCTTCCTCTTCTCCCCTTGTTGCCTCGCTATCAGAGGGGGGGGAGAGCAGTGCTACTACATTTAAACTGAAGAACCGCAACGTATTGACTAATTGTGTCCTCGATACAAATTGTATCGAGGACACAATTAGTCAGTTACCCACTTAACAGCCTTAGTTGTCACTTGTCAAGCCTGTCCTCAAACTGCTTCTAACATGGTTTCAAACACTAGCATTTTCCTGTTGTCATAATGCGATACTGTATGTTATCACTTTTGCTACTATAATCAATTAGAGGCTTAAAACTGGATGGGTCATCCCTTAGTACATTTGGGTCCAAATGAGCTACTACATACAATTCAAAATAATTAACACTATCCAGTTACACAGTGTAAAAGGAGGTTACTCACCTCGATAGTAACTGACTTTCTTCAAGCTGAGTGTCCTGGGGGTGCTTCACATAAGGCTCGGTGGCGGTGCACCGATCTAACATTGGAGAATTCAGAGCAGCGTCCCTGGGGCCACGCACTCTTAGGTTGCCAGCATCATGCATGTACGAGCCTCCTTCCTCCCACTCAGTTCCCAGAATGATGCCATGAGGAAGCCAGAATCCTCAAGTAGAGGAGAGGGAGGAAGGGTTGTAGAGCACCTGCAGGGACACTCATCTCGAAGAACACCAGCTACTGCCGAGGTGAGTAGCCTCCGAGAGAGAGAGAGAGGGAGGGAGAGAGAGAGAGAGAGAGAGACACGTCCCTGTGGGTGCCCCACATTAAATGACTACAAAGCTATTTCTGTTTAAGGAGACAGGGACTTCGGATCTGCCAGAAAAGCGGTGGAAAGAACCACCTTAGCTAGCTTCAGGTTAGAGAGAGGTCCTTGTGTAAGCGTGTAGTACTTTGCCAACGTGTGGTCGGAGGACCGTGTAGCAGCTGCGCAAGTGTCTCTTTGGGTATTTTGTGAAGGAATGTTACTCAGGTAGCCCTGGCTCTGGTGGAGTGTGCCCTTATACTGTCTGGAGGGGGCACATCTGACTAAGTATAAGAGCTTGATACAATCCAAGATCCAGTGGGATAGTCTATGTGATGAGGCGGTTTGCTATCGATACGAATAATATTGGAGATGCTCAAAAAGGTTTAGTTCATTGCAAGTAAAAAGAGCACTCTACGCAGGTCAAGGATGTGCATTTTCACCTTGAAGAAACTGGTTTGGGGAAGAAAGTGGGAAGGTGTATCGTCTAATTGAGGTGGACAGATGAGCATACCTTGGGGAGGAATTTGGGATGGATAGGTCGAGTGACCTTATCTTTAAAAATGGTGGTGTATGTGGGATCAGCCATTAGGGCTGCAATCTGTCCCACCCATCTCAGTGAGGTAATGGCTACAAGGAAAACAGTTTTCATGGATAAGTGCAATAATGGAGGTGGTGGCCATTGGTTCCAAAGGCGGCCGAGTTACAACATTCAATACTAAATGCAGGTCCCACAGTTGTGCTGGTGGATTGATATCTAGATTGAGTACCTAAAGACCCTTTAAAAGCCTCTTGGTGAGTGGATGTGCAAATACAGACAAGTCATCTATCTTAGAGTGGAAGGTAGTAATAGCAGCAAGATAAACTTTAATGGAATTTATTGCAAGGCCCATTTGTTTAAGATGTAGAAGATAGTCAAGGGTGGTAGGTAAGGAGGCTGTTGAATGAGG